CTCAGTCACAGCAACGCTCACATTCCTTCAGCCCTCGAAAGCCCGTGACGCAGGGTACACCACGTGCTGCGCCGCGTGCGCGGACGCCGCCGCCGCCTGACCCCTTGGCATTCAAAGCCCGCCCCAGCCCACGTTCCGTGGTCGCCGCCCCGGCGGAACGAGCAGAGCGGCTGCCGCGCAAGCCGGCAGTGCCTCCAGCACCCAAGATGGCCAAGGCGACGGACAACAGACGTTTGGAATGTTTTGGAGGGTGACCCTGTGTTCTGTCGATTGCTTTAGAGGAGGTCCTTTGGGTCTATACCACCAGCTCCACAAATGAACCATGATCATGCATGATCACCGCTTTTAGGGTGGAGGCCATCGCTAGCTGTGTGGAGGCCATCGCTAGTAGGGTGGAGGCCATCGCATACTGGGGTGGAGGCCATCGGTAGTTGGAGAATGTTGGAGACATACGGAAAGCGTGTATAGATGGCCTCCTCCAGCGTTGCCCGAGGCCAAGTCTGAAAAGAGCTTGGCGTCCTTCTTGCCAGCCTCATCAGCACCTGGTGGCAAGGTTGGCTTCGCGGACAAGGTCATTTGGCATGCATTATATAGGGTTGCGGGCGTTTGCACAAGAAGCCCTTTTGCAAGATTGGTCTCCCATCTTTTCAGCTTGGTAATGGACTTACGGTATAAAATCAGAATCGTGCACTGCATAAATCAGAATTCATGGTTAACGCTTTTGCCCGCAAGATCTTCCCCACGAGCGCGGCCAGACGACCGACTGTCGTTTGAAAACGGGGTGACGACGGTCGGGCTGACGACAGGTCTCTGCTTTGCAGCCAGAGGTGAACACCTCGAAGGGCAAGGAGCCTCTTGGTTCAGTTGATTTGAACCTGCAAAACAAGACCAGTTCTTCCAAAGAACCCCAGCGGCCCGCTGCTGGAGTCTCTATCTTAGCAAGATATTCCAGCGGTGGAATCGACAGCTCTGCTTTTGTTTGTAACGACATGTCTTGGCTACCAAGGGTTTCCCTGTTCTCCATGGACCCTCAATGAGCTCAAAGTTCTCCATGACTCGCGGTCCGCGTGGTTCTCCATGACTTGCCATGGCCGTTTTGGGCTGCTCACGGGCCATGTTGTTCAAACTCCATTTTCAACGACCACGATGAGACTCCCTGCAAATTGTTCTCGCGATGTTGCGGCACAAACACACACACACATACATGCACACTCCACTGCACCAACAAAAACAACACTATATGTCGAAATTTGTGGTGAGGCAATGCAAGTGCTGGCTAACAGCAGGTTTACTATTCGCATTTGTTCCCCATGTACAACTAGTAACTGTATTCTGACCAGAAATCATCAGAGATCCTAAGATTGAATCACAGTCTTTCATCTTGAAGTGGGGTGGAAGAGGCATCTCCGAAGATTTGTTCCCAACCGTGCAAGACACACCCATCCTGTCACAGATGCCGTTTCTGCTGATTTCGCAGCAAGCGACCAGAGACCAAGCCATGCAATTTCGTTGAAAACTGCAACACCGATGGGGAGGCACCAGGGAACCAATACCGCCGGCATCAACATGTTGGATATTCAACACCCTATCAAGCATCAACTCAACCCTCTTGGACCACCAAATGTGAGCATGGTCGTCGCGTGTCATGATCGCCCCTGAGATGCATGAGGAACGTCTATGTGGGCTTCCGAAATGGCCAGGGCCAACGGGATGGCTTTGGTGTGATGCAAGTGGAAGACGGGCCCACCTACACTGGGCAATGGAGTCACGCCTGCATGTATGTTTGTTTGTCCGAAGTTCGACAGATGCCTAATGAATTCGATCAATTCGATCAGGTGAGGACTTATAATGGTAATTAGGACAGTGGTAGGTGATAGTGGTAGTGGCAGCTCCGGTCAAACCGGGAAGGTTCTCCGGTCGACCTGCCTGGTACTCTATTGCTGCTCAACCAGGGTCACCCTGTTTTGACTGCTTGACTGCCGCATGAAGTGACAGCAGTGTCTAGTGCTCGTCCATGCTCGTCCTCGTAGTTGCCACCGTCATCGTCACGTCGAAATCGTCATGGTAATGAGATGTAATGAGCAGTAGTAGTAGTAGTAGTCGTCGTCGTCGTCGTCGTCGTCATCGTAGGTCTAGTTGTAGTCGTCGTTCTAGTAGTCGGTTTTGCCAGTCTTGGTCGTGGATGTTGTGGTTGTGGTTGTGGTTGTGCTACTTCTTGTTCTTCGGTGGTATTTCACGGTTATGATGCAAACGGGTTCCTGTTCTATGTACATGGATGTACATGGTGCATTAGTGCTGCAACCTGGCTTGGCGATATATTCCAGATGCGAAAGACTTTCTACATTTCTCTACAAAGCTTACCTGCGATGTGTCAGGGTCCTGATTGGAACGATGCAAAATCATCGCGTGCGCCCCATCTCAGAAGATGCGCTCGCGAAACTCCTCAGCTCGTCACACAACTTGTGCGCAAAGCTTTATGCAGCACACCTGCTCTACTAGACTCTACTAGCCGCATGCGCTCAGGAGTGGCAGCAAGAGGGAGGGCCATGGGACTCTCTTCTTTGAGACGGGGGTCTTTGAAGGACAGTGGGTCTCCGGCAAAGCGCATGGACGAGGAATGGTACACTTCAAGAACGGCCTCTCAAGATTTGCTTAGCAGTTGTTGGCATGTGTATGCAGGTGTCTTTTCATTGGGCCTTTCACTTCATGATCAAATATGATCGATTCAAGATTGCTTTTTCGGGCTTGGCTTTTTGATGGTTCTGGCGGGTTCCCGCGCCGCGGTTTCCAGCGCCGTCTGACGTTCTGACAGGTGATACCTTCCAAGGGTCCTACGCGGACAACCGGAAGATGGGCCATGGCGTTTACACCTGGTCGGATGGCACTGTGGAGTCGGGACAGTACTTGGAGGGGCAGAAACATGGCGCACATACGTGGAGCCGTGGCAAGGAGCGCTGGGAGATGGTCTACGAGAAGGGAACCTTGGTGACTTGGTGTTGTTTTGATGTGGGAGTTGTATTCTGTTGGGGTTCTCTCAGGAAGTCTCCAACGCATGAAGGCAACTGTATGTTTGTTTTGATCAGATCAAGTAATAGAAGAAGTGGATAGAAGCGGTATGGATCTGAGGGTTGCTTAATGTTTCTTTAACCTTCCATGTCATAGCATCCATGAGCATCCAATGGAGTTCCTGTTCCTGGTGCCTTCGACCAGGCGGTTGGTCCCCCAGCCCGCCAGTCAGTCCACCGCTGCCCTGCGCTGCCCGCAGGTGGCGACTCAACGCTTGGATCAGCCGGACGCCGCAGTCCCCGGCGCGACGCCTGCGGAGGGGTCCGCGCAGCGCGCGGAGGAGGGGAGCCCCAGCAGGGAGTTCGTGGCGCAGAAGTGGATGACGGATGAGGCCCAGCAGCAAGATCCGAGAGGAGGGAGAGGGGGTCGGAGGAACTGAGTAGATTGTAGACTCTGAAAAAGTTGTATCTGACATGGATCGATCGACTCTTGAAAGAAACACTCCATTCCTTAAAGCAGTGCTTTTGGTCTTGGATGAAGAACCCCCAGCCTGGCAGAGGGTCCACCAGGCTTGGGGCTCTTGAGGGTCCAGTGCCCTCCAAGGGACGGCCGGAAAGGGTCGAATGAGAGAGAAGGGGAATGAGAGGAAGGGGGACGTCCTGTGAGGCGGACCCTATTGTGAGCGACTCCGCGCATGGTTTGTTTCTTTGCTCACCGATTTCATGAAAGTACAGCAAAGGTTGACTAGATTTGAATCATTATGGGATCATGCGGCTATCATGTTGATTTGTTTAAAGGAATAGCACCGAGCTGCTGAAAGAAGCAAACAAACAATACGACAGAAAGGAAAGAAACGAATGGAAGACGGTAGGTAAGGAAAAGGAAAAGGAAAGGACAACAAGCAAAGGATGGGAGGAAGGTTTAAAAGGGATTTTCCAACCCATGCAGGAGGGACATGTTGATTGCAACATGCTGCCCCTAACTGTGCTATTGCACACCAACTCTTGTGGAAAAGGGCCCGTAACAAAAAATATCAATAAATATATAGACATATATATATATATATATCCTCTCTTGACATTCATGAAGAAGATGTGGTTGTCTTCGAGCACCACTGTGGCTTGGAGGATGGTCGAGGCAAGTAAAGAATTCTTGCGAATGGCAAAGAATATCAAGGCATGGCTAGGCTTAGATCTAAATCGCTTGCAGTTGCAGTGCGTTTGGATCTTTACAGCATTTGCACCACTATTGCCACAACTGGCCAGGCACGTGTTGTGCCCCGGCCAACTCCACCCCCCAGCCCGCCGAAGCAGCCGAAGCCTGTGCAGCCGGGCCCTTTGAAGGCTCGAGTGGAGGTTACAAGTTCTTTGACAGTCCCACACTTAGAAGGAAGCTCGCAAGAGGACACATATGACAGGTTCAATCCAGAGTGCATGAAGTACCCTGAAGTGTGCTGAAGTACACTTTTGGAACAGGGTTTGACACAGACACACACACACACACACACAGATATACTTGCGAGCAGTCCATCCCGCTCCTGGAAAAAGCCCTGGTACACCTGCGGGGTACTGGAGGTTTATGAGTGAGAAAAGTAGACAACAACTTATTCAGAGCATTGATCATTGATCTTCTGAAAAATCCAAGTTCTGCAATTGTTTGACAGATCTGGCTCAACATGCGTTGTTCTTCTTTGTGGGGTGTCGCCCATGCTCATTGCTCATGGACCATGAATGATTCTCATGCATTCAATTCCATGCACTAGCAAACTAGGTGAAGCTTAGTTGCTGGCATATGCTGGCTCCAAGATTCTTCCAAAGAAACGCACCCTAAATCCCTAACACATCCTAACTGAATCCTAACACCCAATGTTGAATGTCCAAATCTTTGAGCTCGTCTTCTACACTATCTTCTACTCCACTCTCCATTCTCCCAAACAAGCCACTCACTCCTCAAGGCTGGCGGCAGTTCCACCGTTCTCCATGCGGCTCTCAGCGCTTCGCATGCTTCGCAAACCGCCGCGCCCTCCGGCGCCGCGCACGACGCGCCCTCCGGCGCCGCGCGCTTCGCAGCGCCGAGCGCCTCGTGGCGGTGTCGCTCGGATAGCGGCTTTCGAGCTCAAGGCTTTACAGATGAAGAGATCGCCCGGCACGCCCAGCCGACGGGACATCGACGGGGTAGACAGGGCTGGCAAAAGGTACTGGGGGGGCTCTGAAACAAGAAAGACCAGTTCGGGTCATGGATCTTCATTGATCTTCATAATATTCAAAAACGGGCGCTCAAAGCCTCACATCTCCCACACTGTAGGTCCTAGAGGTGAGGATCCGCTTTTCGTTAACCGTCTTTGAACAAGGGCTTGGGATATTTGGGATGACTTGTTTTGTACCGCCAGATGGGCCCCAGATGACTGCATTTCATCCATTTCATCAGCTGTCGCAGATCGTTGTCGACTGAACCCCTTGGCCGTGCTGCGGAACTTGAGGCTCTCATGGAGAGGAAGAGTTAGGAGCTCAGAGTGCTGAGTGTTCTTCGCTGACTTTGTGCAGGATGGGATGACCAACAGAGGTTGAAGGACCCGAACTAGATCATCCCATAGGTACCCCAGGTTACGGGTCCTAGTTCAGGTCACTTAATCTCTCTTGGGATGACATGACACATTGCTTCAGTTTCTTTCTTCCTTTGTCCGAATCCCACTGGTGAGAACATAGCGAACGTGACATCATAGGGTCACACCGTCATAGGGTAACATGGTCCCACCTCAGCTTCTCATGTCTTAGTCAGTTTTGCAGACTCACAACCATGGCCCTCCTCACCATTCATGGAATATCATGGAATCACGTTTCGGAAGCTTAGACTCATCATCAGATGAAACCTCATGGACCATGATCAGTCCATGTCCATATCCTATCTGTCCACCCGGATCAAAAGCACATGAAGCATCATGACAATTGAAGATGATCAGTCCATATCAGTCTTATCACCAGGTGTGTCTTACAATAGCGAGACCTCGTTCAACCCCCTGGGTGCGGTTCGAAAACATGGCCTTCAAGGCCGGAGCGAATCCTATTCAACTAGTGATGGCTTTCCTATTCAGGTAGCTTCTTGTTAGGTTCGCGTCCGATCGCTCTGGACTCGAGTCGCGATGCCTTTTGCTCCGTTCGTAGCGTCCTTGCTCCTAGTATTCAAAGATCCATCCATTCCATTGCCCAAGCCGAATTGCTGCCGGGGTCCAGACCCGAGGCCCTCCGAGTTCGCCGTCAGGGCGCGAGAGTCGGGAGAAAGCGCAGAGTCGAGCGACTTGGGCAGAGCTGAGCACTGGTCTTGGAGGTTTTGGGTTGGGGTAGGTTGGAGGCCATCGCTACTAGGGTGGAGGTCATCGCTACTCAGTTGGAGAGTGGAGGCCATGATTCAGCTGTGAAGATTTGAGGAGGAAAAGGTGAGAGATGGTGGAGGTCCTCCTGGAAAAAACACTGAGACTGGATGTCGTAACATCTTGGGCATTTTTGAGCTTATGTGTTTTTTTGAAAGTGGTGATCCATGGTCTACACAGCTCAGAGTTCGGCTTGAATGGCCCCAGTATGTACCTTTGTGGCTTTGTGGACCCAACATGGCTCTAAACCACATTCCTGCCGTCTGGGCCGGGCCATCCTCTCCACTCCAGTGAAAAGGTGCACATCCTCCACCAAAACGATTCCCAGGTTTGCTCCGCTTCTCGCACACGGCCTGCTGCCAAAAGCCTTCCCAAAGCCGGGGGCACCACACTGCAGTCAGGCAGAAGCAGCGGCGCCGCGCATGTTGTGCGACGCGCGATGGCGATGTGATGCGAAAGGGTCGAAATCGGATGCCCAGGTGGTTCGCAGGTGGTCACAAAGTATAGTTCAACATTGGTGCAAAACTATAAAACAACAGACTATGTCCACTGATCCAAGAGCGTTGAACAGATGTTTGGAGATTGCAATAATTTGTGATGTTCTGAGATCTTCTGAAGTGCTAGTAACCAACTAACCTGTTGAAAGCATATCGCCTCCGGATCTTTGGTCACCATTCCCCCACCCCAATCCCATTGGCATCGGACGCAACGACACAACGGACGCGGGAGGAGGCGAACGCTAGAAACCCATTGGAACCTATTGGAACCTGTTGGAAGTTGGTGGTTTTCGGTTGGGTCTTGGCTCAAGTCCGCAGTATTTTCCCACCTCTCCATGTCTTTCATCTTCGGTTTGGTTCACCTCTCCCTCGCTGCCAGGAGCTGCTTCCCGCGGACCAGCTGTGCCTGCCGTCGCGCCGACGGTTCGGCCACAAGCGGCGCAGGTTCGGGGACCCGGTTCACGCTGGGTTTCGGCCAACGGCTTGGTGTGTGGTGAGGGTCGACTACTGGGGCCTCGACTGAGATGGAGCCGAAGGCAAGGATGGGGTTGTTTTCGTGTCTCGTTTCTCTGGTCGTTTGGACATCTTCAACTGGCCACCAGCCTGGTGTTTTGCCTCAACTCCACGGATCTTAGGGTTCAAGGGAGATCAGCAATTTTCAGTGATGGATGATCAAATCCCACCTCACCGGATGATGGGAATTGGAACACCCCAGAAGAAAAAGTGGACTTGTTGAGAAGAACTGTGGTTCAGGGCGTATTTCGTGCGTAAGAACGCGGATCCAGCCATATCCAGCCACGGGGTGTGAGCATGTGTTTAGGCTACTTTGTGGTTTCTCCAACGGAAGCGACTCATTAGACTCCCCATGAAAGATCATGAAAGATGGTATGGTATTTATGGTAGCCTTGCTGGTTGACAACATACAGTGCTTCTACGTACTCTCTCCCCAGCTGTAGCTCTTGGATTCACCTAACATCCACCACAGTTCTGATTCTGATATATGCTGATCCAGGTTGTGAGTGAATCCACCATACAGATATACAGGGATGGGTGACGTCCCCCAGGTGTCATCACCAAGTTCGCCTCGCAGAAGCGCCACCGAGGCCCCGCAAGCCACGCCAGGGCGCAGTGCTGGCAGCAGCTCCTCAGTCGCGGCACAGGCGGATGCGGCGGGCGGCGGTGCTGTGGGTGCCAGTGAAGAGGTGCTAAGGCAAGAGGAAGAGGAACGAAGATGGAAGGAAGAGGAAGCCAGACGTCAAGAAGAAGCGCGACTTC